TGACTCTGAAAACCCATTGGTTGGGTCATGTAGATCTCTCGATCTAGCTCTCCATAAAGAAAAGCATTCTTTACATCCATCTGCCACAAGTTCCAGTCTTTGTTGGCTGCAAGTGCAAGTAAGACTCGTACGGTTGTAAGTTTCGCCACTGGACTAAATGTTTCATCATAGTCTAATCCATACTGTTGAGAGAAACCACGAGCTACCAATCGCGCTCTGTACCTCTCGATTGACCCATCTGGACGGCGCTTTATCTTGTAAACCCATTTGCAAGATATGGGTTTCACATCTTTTATCTTTGGTACAATATCCCAAGTTTGATTTTGCTGAAGTGCATCGATCTCTTCTTTCATAGCTGTCATCCACTCAGAACTCTTCGATGCTTCTTCGAACGTCTCAGGCTCCGTTGCTTCTTCAATTATGGTTGCATTGGCATATTTGGGATTTGGCCTTCGTATTCTTGTTGACCTTCGAAGTTGAGATTGTGGAATTGATTCTTCTGTTTCACTAGGCCCACCTTCTTTGTTTGGTTGTTGATACACGCCAGTTTGCCACGGATTCTAAGTCACTCTTTGTTCGACATCATCGCCATTTGGATCTTCTGATTCATCTGAACTTGTTTGAAGTTGAACATCATGCTCCCCCATCTTTTGTTGTAGTTTGTCTCCAAATTCTCTCAAATCTGGCAACACCTCCTTCTCTGAGGACCACCAAGAAGATGCTTCATCAAATACCACATTTCGTGACGTGTAGCATCTTCCACTAATTGGATCACAACATTTCCACCCCTTTCTATGGCTGTCATATCCCACAAAGATACATCTAACAGCTTTCTTGTCAAATTGCTCCGTAAATGATCAGGAACAAACACATAACATACACAGCCAAATACTCGAAAGTAGCTAACTGTAGGTTTTATGTTCCATAGTTTCTCAAAGGGTGAAACAAATCCTAACCTTGGTTGAGGAAGTCTGTTGATCACAAAGGCTGCAGTCCTCATTGCTTCAGCCCAAAACCTTCCAGATACGTTCTTTGCATGTAGCATACTTCGACAAATTTCTGCAAGATGCCGGTTTTTTCTTTCCGCTACACCATTCTGTTGTGGCGTGTTGGCACAAGTGTACTGATGACGTATTCGGCATTCCCTTAGGTATTGAGAGAACTCGTTTGATCTATATTCTCCTCCGTTGTCTGTGCGCAAGCAGCATATCTTCTTTCCCACTTCTCCTTCAGCTGAGTCTCTGAACTCTTTAAACTTTGAGAAAGTATCAGATTTTTCTTTCATAAAGAAAACCCACACATACCTGGAGAAGTCATCAATGAATGTTACCATGTACCGCATACCGCTAATTGACTGTTGCTTAACCGGTCCGAAACATCAGAGTGAACCAACTCCAAAGGTTCTTTTGCTTTAAACTTCGACTCGTCATATGGTAATTGGTGTGCTTTACCATACTGGCATCCCGCACAGACCGTGTCTGTTCTCACGTCTAGTTGAGGAAGCCCCTTAAGCATCGACTTTTTCACCATCACACTTAGCTTGGAATAGCTAACGTGACCTAACCGCATGTGACATAGATCTGATGTCTCATTTTTCCTTGTCATGTCTACATATGCAGACTCTGCTGACATCACGTAAATTGATTCCAAACGTCGTCCCTCCATTGTTGGTGTTTCTGTGATTTTGACATCACGATAAACCTTCACGTCTTGGGGACCAAATAAGACATAATGGCCTGATGATGTTAGTTGAGCCACAGATAGCAAATTTTTCTTCATTCCTGGGACATGGTAAACATCTTGGAGTTGCACCTGGTTAGTATTATATCGAGGAGTAACTATTATCTTACCGATGTGAGTTATCGGTAACCTTGAGTTGTCAGCTGTCACCACCACACGACCTCCATTGTACTCAGACTGGTTTTACAACTTCTGTTTGTCACCCGTCATATGATTTGAGCAGCCAGAATCTACGATCCAATCATTCTTGTAGTCAATCCGTTCTGGTGTTGTTACCGTGAGAGCTAATTCTTCTTCCTCCGTAGCAAATAACGCTTCAGCATCCCAACCATCTTCACTATTCTCCTTCGAACAAGAAGTAGCAGTATTACTTTCAACAGGCTTTTTCTTGGTCCAACAGTCTTTTGCCATGTGGCCCAACTTCCCACAATTGTAACACTTGCCATCGAACTTTCTACTATTACCGCGATTCTTGGAAGCTCCCCCTGAATGAGGGCCTCCATTTCCTTGGTAATTTTTCACCTTGTCACCATCCTTTTTAGATCCATTGCCAGTATACCGCTGAAAAGTGCCTCTGCTTTTGCTGGTGTAGAGCGCTTCCTCTTCACTCTTCAGTGAGACTCCTCCCATTTGCTTGGCCATGGCTTCTTGACCTGCAAGCAAATTTTCGAACTCAACAAGCGATGGTTGTGTCGGCCATCCCTGTACAGCGGCAACAAACCCTTGATATTTGGGTCTCAAACCATGGACAATTATTCTTTTTATCCTGGCTTCCCCAATAGCAGCTGTCGGATCTAATTCTGAAATTTCACGGCATATCGACTTCACATTGTGAAAGTATTGGGCAACCGCCATGTCGCGTTGCGCCATTGATAGAAGTTCATTCTCAAGAAGTTGCAATTTTGTATCGTTCCTCTTTGAAAAGAGTGTAACAAAAGTGTCCCATGCTTCCTTTGGTGTTTTAGCATCCCGGATGTGCTCCAATATTTCTTCTTCAATTGTGGTCTTTAAAGCAAACATTGCTTTGCCTGCTTTAATTTTCCACTTTCGCAAGATTCCATTGGATCTTCTGTCGCCGGTTGTGTAACTTCACTACCACCGACAACCTCCCAAAGGTCTTGACCTTGTAAGTATGACTCCATACATGTTGCCCACGTGTTGTAGGTTTTGTTGTTGAGCTTCTTGATTCCTCCAACTACTTGAAGATCACCCATCTTAATGGCAAGGCTTTGACTACACCAAACAAGCTTGAGTAACAAACGTGCAGAGTACTAAATTACTCTAAACACAAAGAAGCTCCACAAGGTTTGTAATAACCTCGACAATAACTCAAGAAATATTTTCTGATGTGGAAGATCAGTTAAAAACTGCAGCCACAGAGCATACTCAGAATTTCAAGAGATCTTTAAAACGTGGCTCTGATACCAATTGTTGAATCAAAATAGAGTAAAAACTCTAATTGATCCAAAAAAAAACTCTCTTTAGAATAATCTCACAAAATTGCAAAAGGGAAGAACTCTTAAGAAAGCTTTCAAATGCTTATAATTAAGCTTTGATTGTTGGATGATAAAACTCAAATACAAGTAGGGTATTTATAGGTTACAAGAAACAATCTAAACCACTCATTATAATAAACACTAAATAATCTAAACCATTGAAATTAAAACATGAGAAAAATACTTAATTTTCACCTAACTAAATTGATGTAAGCAATGACATCAAAACTAAATTGATGTAAACAATGACATCAAATTAATTTAGGTGTGAACATATAGGCTAATATTGAATTTTCAACAAAAAATTGTTCATACTCATTTATTTAGCTTAATAAACAAAACATAAATGAACGTTATACGAACGGTTTACAAATAGTTTATCGAACACTATATTCATTTACACCACTATATCTTAGTAAAAGAATAGAGATTCTAACTGCATCTTTAGTTAAAAGAAATGAAAATGTAAATACTGGTTCGAGACGCATTCAAATTATTCAGTTTAACTTAAATATTAGCTTTGTTAGAATTTTATTTTATTTTTATCTAGTTTGATTCTTTCTAAGAGAAATTTTACATATTTTGAGGAGATATATAGTTTAAATTAAATACTAGTAACTTTCATAGGATTGTAACATATTCTTTACATTGCTTAACGGTAAAGTTTGAGTTTTGTGCAAATGGTCTTGGATTTGACACTCTTTCTAAAGCTAACAATAATATTTAACATTTTTCTCATTTTATTTGTTTAATAAATGTTTAATATAAAAATAAGTGATTAAATTATTTCTTAAAGTACAATTTGGTGTTTAAATAAATGTTCACTAACGTTTTCTCTGTTACACTTTTATGTGCATATCATTATATATTTTTTAATTTTTTTAATAATAAAAATATTATTTTTTAAAAAAAGAATGAAAAATCAAAAAAATGAAACCCCCTACCCCTCGTCCCTCTCTCTTTCGTCACCCCACCACCAACGAAGAACGGTCACCATCGAATGGATTTTGTTTGGAGCATGACGGAAAAACAACGGTGACAACTGTGTAACGAACGGTCGGTTGTAGTTGTCAAAATTATCGGGAAACATAAATGAAAAACCTAAAAATCCGGTGACCTTTTGTGGTGTTTTTCACGATGATCGATGCAGTTTCTCTGTGGGTGGGGGATTAGGTTTTGGTCGTGGCAATAAGACGATTCTGATGACGTTAATGGTGATGGCCATGGACCAACAGTGATCGACTGGAGACAGAAAATGTAAAAATTGAAGGTTTTTTGTTTTTTTAATTATAATATTAATTTTTTTAAATAAAATAATTTTTGAAATTTTATATGCGTGATACATAACATATAACGATCAAATTTAGCGGCCGTTACGATTCATGCACATAAAAGTGTAATGTTGGAAACGTTAGATACCTATTTGTATCTAAAAATTCTTTTTATGACAAATTGTATTCTAAGGTATACTTTAGATACTTATTTTTATATTAAGTTTTTAATAAAATAATACTACTAGATACGTAATTGGTCGAATAAATATTTCTTCCCTCCAATTTTTCCCTCTCTTCCTTACCATTCCCTTTCGCCAACCCTCTTTTTCCACAAAAGTCAAACCACAAAAATAAGCGCCACATTTCAGCAGCTCAGATCACAATATCTGAAGCAGTTTAATGTATTCTGTTCTAATATAAGATTTTCACTTGCATATATATTTAAACGTGATACTGTATTGCATTGCAGGCTTACTTTTCATTTCAAGAAATGTCTTTAACCCCTCGTTTTCTCGATTCTATATGGTTCATTTCCCTCTATTCAGCTCTATTTCAGCACCATTTCGCATTTGCAACTTCAAATTCATCTGGTCGAACCCTAAGGGCTGTCCTTAATGATTCTCCGAGCTCTCCTTTGTATCTTGTTGGAAACTTGACGAGAACCGAAAGAATAGGAAGATTGATCAAAGTTACCAATGCTCGAATCGATTACCTAAATAAACTCTCGAATTTTACCACAAAGGTAGGCGAAAACAATATTCGACTACCATTATATCTAGATGGTTTAATCTATGCTGTGGGGTTCACAATTGGAAGCCAACACCACCCGGTGAAGCTGTTGATGGACACCGGTGGTTCTCTAACTTGGACCCAATGTCAGCCATGCTCGGGTTGTTTCCCACAAACTCTTCCCATTTATGATCGTAGAGCGTCGACCACTTACGCTACACTTCCTTGCAGCCATCCTTTCTGCAGCGGCGAGCAAAGACACTACAATTGTGTCAACGACGTATGTGTCTACGATGTTACATACGGAGGCGGATCGTCTACCCAAGGCGTCGCGTCGTTGGAGACGTTCGACTTCTTCGTCAACCAACAAATGCATGCTTTCCCCCAATGTCCTCTTCGGCTGCTCCGACGCCAGTAGTGACATTAGCTTCTACACTTCCTTGCAGCCATCCTTTCTGCAGCGGCGAGCAAAGACACTACAATTGTGTCAACGACGTATGTGTCTACGATGTTACATACGGAGGCGGATCGTCTACCCAAGGCGTCGCGTCGTTGGAGACGTTCGACTTCTTCGTCAACCAACAAATGCATGCTTTCCCCAATGTCCTCTTCGGCTGCTCCGACGCCAGTAGTGACATTAGCTTCGAGAACAGCGAGATTTCAGGAATCTTCGGATTAAGCTTGGGACCGGATTCGATTCTAAACCAACTTTCTCATTTCATCGGCTACCGATTCTCCTACTGTTTTGCCCCTTTCAGCGGCGGAATACCTCATCCGCTCCTCGTTCGCTTCGGGGAAGACATTCCGCCGCTGCACAACGCTCAAACGACGATGTTCGTGCAACCGCCGTTCCGGGTCTATTTCTTCTACATGGAATTGATGGAAATAAGCGTCGGAAATTACCGTATAAACTTCCCACCGTATACGTTTGAGATCAGGGGAGATGGGAGTGGTGGTAGCTTCATAGACTCGGGAGCCATGATAACTCAAATCGATGCCAACACACCTGGGCTCAACGCTTATGAAGAAGTACTAAATGTGTTTGATTCATATTATGAATCCGAAGGCCTTCAAACAAGACGGGGAAGGATTTGATCTCTGTTATGATCTTCCACCTGGGGGTTACGATAATTTTGCACCTTTAACATTCCATTTTAATGCTGCCGATTACACCGTTGATGGGAAATTTATGCATAGTTTCTACGATTCTCATTTCTGCGTGGCGCTGCTAGGAAAGGGATCGAGTTCGACTGTACTTGGTGCTTGGCAACAACAAAACAAACGTATCGTTTATGATGGTCAGATCGCCGGACTCCGATTTGCCGACGAAGATTGCATCCATGACGTTTTCTGATGGGAAGCAGAAATATTTATGATCAATATTTTACTACTACTGCTAATGTTTTAGCTTATCTTCAAGGCCTCCTTCTGGAAAATAAATTAAAAATAATAAAAATGTTGAGAGATGGGGAGCAATTTTAAGTTGAAGTCCCATCCCTTGTCAGAGTGCTTTTTCAATGTGGTCTAATTCTTTGGGGGGCAGGGAAATTCGTAATTTAGGCGTGATTAGTTATCTTAAAAATAATATTTTAATGATTTCAGATAAGTAGGTCTGATGTGGATTAAAATTTTAATATATTAATAGAAATTCGTTACGTCAAGTTAACGAGTTTAAACTGAAATTAATTTTTTTAAAAAATTCAGGAAGTAATTTAAAAATAAAAAAATAAAAAAAAATCATAGGAGCTCATCATATCGATGCGACAAGTTTCTCTTAAATTAAAAAAAATAGTCGTTTAGAGTCGTTGGGCAACTGAAACTACAATGGTCAGATTCCAACGGTCAGCATGACACAAAGAGATCTGCATCAATGGGTTATTATCTATCTACAACAATCTGTACTGTATTCAACGACATTTTTGCGTGGTTTTAAGGTGAACCCGACACTAATTTCGACACTGATTGAACGCTGGAGGCCAGAAACGCATACTTTCTATTTTTTGAGTGGTAAGGTGACAATAAAGATGGAAGATGTCGCTTACCAAGTCGGTGTTCTATGTTGATTGTTGGAATCTGATCGTTGTAGCTATCCATTTTTCAACGGCTCTAAACGACTTGGTTCTTTTTTTAATTCAAAGGAAATTCGTCACCTCGATGTAACGATGGGTTTTTTTTTCATTTTTAATTATTTACTGAATTTAAAAAAAATTAATTTCAGACCTGACTCATCACCTCGACGTGACGAATTCCTGTTGATATATTATAATATTGACCTACATGGAGCCTACTTATCTAGGATCATTAAACTATTATTTTCAATTAAACTTGTCATCTCAACATTGCGAGTTTCTCTATTACTGTAGTATTTGATGTCGATTGCAAAATAAAGTTTGGAGTGGTCTATTGGGACAAATAATATCGGCGCATTATGTATTGAGCCAAAAAAAATCCTAATTCTTTAGTTCCAAAATCAGTTTCACTTTGGTCCAAACCTTTTGGGTTTTAGTTTTGTTTGAAGCATTCATAGCTAGAATTAAGCTCATTAGGCCCAAAAGAAAGAGACAAGACTTCAAACAAACAGAAATTCTATGAGAATAAGGAATGTTGACATTTCTGTGAATTCCTTGGAAACCTTAACGCTTGCGTATATCAAGAAGAAGAAGAAATAACCATTTTAGCTATACATCCGTCTCCAGGAAAGCATCAAGTTTTAATCTCCTTGAGGAGAAATAACAAGCACGAAGACACTTCATTGGGTGGTGGCATGAATCCTCTCAAAGCAAGCTAAAAGAGGGATAACTAGAAGAGTTGGTGGATTTTTATCATGGATTTGAATTAGTTTTATTGGTGTTGTGATGTAATTGATGCTAGCATGATCGATTGCAACTAATGATACGAGTTTATACACTCCAAATGAAACACTACTTTGACAAGCCTTCATACACGTGAAAGTTTCTTTAGATTAGGCACGCAATGTACAAACTCCAAAACCCACGTTCCATACCACTAAGGTTTATCTATACTTTGACATACAATCATAAAGTGATAAGTACGTATATGTCGTCAAAGTAAGACTAGAACATATAAACATCCTATACATGATAAATAATAATTGCATGTTATTTTATTATAAAAGGCTCAACTCAAATTAAAGTGAAAAATCTGGTTAAAATTAATGGAGCTTCAATGATTAAAATGTAAGTCAAATATGTGTTTCTAATTGATGATGGAGTAATTAAAAATTATAGTTAATGTGTAAAGTTATATTAGGTTATTGTATTCAAATTATACACTAGTTGGACTCATCAAGTGGTTTCAAGAGAACGTTTACTATAAGTTCTTGGTTCGAGCAACTACGACTATAAGGTATGTGTTGTCAATTAATTAAGAAAGTGTGGAACATATACTATATTATAATGATAGACTTTGTATCATCAAACCTATTTGTAAACTTTTTGAAATATGATGATATATTTGTGAACTTATTAATAATAGAGTAACCTGTGTAATTTACCCAAAGAATAATTAAAAATATTTTCCAATAACACATTTTATTGTTTGTTTGAGATTTAATAATATTATAATCTTGTGGTTATAATCAATTAATTTTTTAATAATTTGGTGTGATTATAAGCTAGTATTTGTTCATAACATTTTTTAATTATTGACAACACACAAATCACGCAAACACAACTGTTAGACCCATAACCTCAAAGGAGAACAATACACTCTTTAATTATTTAGACCATTCAATATGTTCCATAATCAATTAATTTTTTGAGCTACGATAATTGAATTTCAATAATAAAAATAAAGGAATGAATCTAAATTACAACGCACCAAACATCGAGGGGAAAATGGAGACAATAGTCACTAAAAAACTCGTAAAAAAACAAAAAATTGTAAACCCAAAAATATGAAGAAAGAGTAAGCATTCATTGGGAATGGTGATCAACATTAAAAGAATCTAGTAACCTTCATAAAAACTCATTGTCTCTATCGAATAAGACATTTTACAAAGTGATCATATGGCAAACAATCTTTTACCAAAGAGGAGATGTGACAATACTTGACTATCGACAAACCAATCAGATAATAAATGCAGTGGGGATCTTTGTGCGACCACCAAAATGATCGTAAAAGTATGCGAAATATGTACGAAAAGCCATAAGGATCGTGCCACAACAACAGAGAAGACGTATGCCACAAGAGCAAAGAAAAGTGTGTCACAAGGATGGAGTTTCTTATTCAAAATTGGAAAAAAAGGACATGGTATGAAAAAACAAGAGAACTAATAATCACTAGTGGTCGATAACCAAAATTAAAATTGGGTTTTCTTTAGCTAAACAAAAATCAAAGAGAAATAACAAGACGATACAAGCAGATGGACCTAAGGGGAGCGGGTGGGGGGCGGTCACCGCCTAAAAATCTAAAATCACCATATATTTTAGATTTTTTCTATGTATTTTCTATTGAAAATATGTTTTTGCCCCTGAAATTTTATAAGTTCAAGTTCGTCCCCATAACTTAAAATCCTAAATCCGTCCCTGGATACAAGAATATTAAAAGAAAACTTAAGTTAAAAAATATTTATGTATTTATAATCAATTAATTAAATGATTTGGTTGTGAATTTTTAGAATACAACGAAGCGTTTATAAAAGCTAAAAACAAGCATGTAAATTGGAACTGAGGGCTAACTTATTTTGAGCTAAACTTGACATGGGGCAACATGAGTAGTCTACTGAGGCGCACGGGGGGGGGGGGGCATGAAAGCCTGCAAGTGAATTCTCATATGTAGGGATGGATCTAGGGGAGTGGATGGGTTGCGTATTAAAAATTTAAAATTATCATATATTTTAGATTTTTATGTATTTTTTATTAAAAATATATTTTTATCGCTCTAAAATTTTATAAGTTCAAGTTCACCATCTGAAATTTTATAAGTTCAAGTTCACCTCCTAATCTAAAATCATGTGTCTGTCTCTGCTGATATCCATTTTTATGTTTTAGTAGAAGAAAATGAAAGGTGAAAGCCTCTTCCCTCTAACTATACATCACCAAAATCCTCTGTACATTTGCATCATCGTACATGGAAACCAAGTGTATAACTTGACCTAATTTTTGGCAAGTTTTTCCCTTGAAAAAGGCATCTTATAAGGGTCCCCACTATAAATTTCCCACAAAAATCTTCCTTTTTTTAGAAGTAGATCTGACAAGTCGTCTATTCATATATTTTCGTGTAATTTTAATTAATATATGAAAATTTAAAAATATTAAAAATATTTTTTTATATTTTAGTTTGTGTTACTTTTACTTATATTGCATATTTATTTTATTTTATGCATCCTATATAAATATTATGAGTCTACCTCAAAGGCTCAAGTTTCCTTGTTTAAACTTGCAAACATGGAAAATTATTGCATCTCCCTTGGGACTCCTTTGTATGTCACTCCATTTCGATGAAACTTCTTGTTAGGTTTATGTACTTCTCAATAACTCGTCTTTTGTCTTCTTACTATTACAGTGTTTAAAGTTCCACATCAAACATCTCAAATTAAAAGAAAATAAATTGCAATTTTAGGACATGGAATTTGATATTGGTCATTTGAGATTTTTTTTTTGGGTGAAAAATGATTTTTTTTTAAAAAATTTATATTCTAAAAATGTTTTTTTTATCGATTCAGCTTTTAATAGCTTTTTTAAACAATTAAATTATTTAAAAAATAAACCTAATTTTGATACCTTATTAAAGAAATTAAGAGTATTTCATCACTAATTATATCGATTTACAAAGGTTCAAGCCTTAACTGACGTGATGATAGAATTGATCAAAGCTTTATATATACACATGTCACTTACCATAAAATTAAAGGATTCATTTTGAGAATTGACTCAAGAAATGTTATAAAATTAGAATCAAATCTTCATCAAATCTTCAATTCAAATAATGCTACAAAAATAATATAAATTAGTCAAAAAATTAGATTAATATTTGATTAGAGATAGAAAACTATTGTTAATTTGTTTATAATAGGAAAAAATGGAAATCTGGGAATTAACGAGTTTAACATGTAAATGCTAAGAGACATGCCACAATAGCTTAAACATAAGCATGGTGCCACTTATAATTACCACTTATAACGCAATGTTGTTCGGTCGTCGCTTTTCGTCTGACAAGGAAAGGAAAGGTCGGCAAGTGGGTTCCCGGAACCCTCTTTCGTTGTAATGTTTTAGTTTTATTTACCAAGGAGTCTTAGCTTTGCTATCGCTCTTACGGATTCTCCCTATTTACTGTACCATAATCGTTTAATTTCGTTATGGATTAAACGTAGGCGCAGTTATAAATGACAAT